GGGACTTTGTTACATTTGAACTAACCCAAATGCTTGAGACTGAGCTTTATACCACATTTTAATTAATAAACAGCCCAATATTGGTGGGTCATAACAGGAAAGTCTATAAAAACCTGGAGAGAGGGAGGGGAAAATTAATTTTTTAAAGGAATATCTGGGAGTAGAGGATGTGATTGTTTGAGATACCCTGGTGTTGCAGCCATTCTCCACTCTGCTGCTGCCTGAATATAAAAGAGTTCATTACTGAAAAAGCTGTCAGTTTTAACTTGTATCTATTAAGCTGCGTTTAAAGGGAGAGTGGTCCTTGGTATTATAGATCATACAAGTATTGAACTTCTTTTATAACCATGGACAAGTGCATAAAAACAGGACTTAAATGAAAACTACATGTTTTAAACTCCATGTATGAATATATATGTACACACATATATACATGCATACATACACTCAATGGCATGTATTAGGTATTGGAGACCAGGGAAATTTTTCCAGGCTTCTGGTGAACCACCAGGTTCTTGGCTCAGAAGCTAAGGCCAAACCATGGGACAAGCTCAGACTGGGAGATATAAAAATGTATCATATCAATGCAATTTTGTGTTAGCATCACAGAGTTATAAAGAAGTAGGACTGGAATTGAACTCAGAATGGAAGAATCAATTCCCTTGACCTACAAGTGACACTCCTATTACCACTACTTGGTGTGCAACTGGCTTTTTTCACAGCCAGAGGACACTGTAGATTCATATTCAGTTAGTGGTCCACTATAACCCCCAGATTCTCACTATGTTGCCAGTTGTTTCCCCAGTCTGTACTAGTGCATTTCATTGTCCCATCCCAGGTGCAGGAACTTGCAGTTGTCCTTATTAAATTTCATTGGATTAATTTTGGACCATTTTCCAATTTATCAAGATCATACTGAATCCTAATCCTGTTCTCTAATGTGTCTGGAGCTCTACCCTCCTTGGTGTCATCTGCAGATTTGCTGTGTAATCAATCCCACCTTCTAAGTGATCAAGCCCTGATTTATTTCCTGATCATAAAACACCTACATACTCATCAGACTACAAAGACTTGTCTACACTAGAAAATGTTTGGTGATATAGTTCTTCCAACAGCCCCTCCTAGTGTAGAAGAAAATGATCCTAGGAAAAATGTGTTCAGCTAATGCAGCAAATAAATAATTGATACATGTGTATGCATAATAAACAATGTGTGTGTATACACATACATACATACATACATACATATACACATGTGTGTAGTATGGTCAAAATCACATTGACCTGATACATTTTTGTATCTCCCAGTCTGAGTTTGCCCCATGGTTTGGCCTTGGCTTATGAGTGTGTGAGCATATCTACACATGCACTTTAATGCACATTAGCCTATTTTAATGCACATTAAAGTGTCACAAAAAAGTTTGCTTTTGTTAATGTGCATTAAAATAGGCTAATGTGCCTTTTTCTAGTACCTCACAGTGGAGGTACCAAATTTAATGAGCATTAGCAAACACATATTAATGAATGTGCATACCAGTGGTGGGCAAAATACAGCCTGTGGGCTGGATGTGGTGCATGAAGGGGCTTTGTCCAGCCCACAGCAGGTCCCTTGGTCCCGTTTGGCCCAGGCGCCACCTGGCCATGGTGCATCCTGCTGTCCCCTGGGCACACAATGGGGCTGTGGCACCTCCACAGCTGGACTGCATTTCTAGGCAGGCCAGGCAGTGGCGGCTCCTTCTGGCTGCCCCACCACTGGCCCCTGGCCCACAGTACCAGCAGGGACCAGCCCAGTGCTCCCCGTGCTTGTTCCAGACTTACCTTTCTGGGATGAGCAGCAGCAGTGGTGGCAGCCAGGCAGAAACTGTTGCTTGGTGTGGGGGAACAACAGCCCCTCCCCTTCACCTCCCTCCCCGTGCCCCCAGGCACTTCCTGCTGCAGCCACCTGGAGCCTGCACCATACTGAGCTGCCCTGAATCTCCACCGCCATCAGCACAACCTCTGGGCTGCCCAGTGGGGCAGCGGTGACAATGCAGAGCAGGTGCTGGGTAGCCCAGGCAGTGGTGACAGCACAGACACAGGGCAGCCTAGTGCAGCATGGGCTGCAGGTGGCTGCAGTAGGAAGCACCTGGCAGTAGAGAGGGGAAGGAGCTGGCTTTTCTCCCATGCCAAGCAAGTTAATGCCCAGCCACCACTCCTGCTGCAGCAGCTGAGCTTGGGTGGGTGAGTCCAGAGCAAGCACAAGGCCCACCAGGTCAGGGCTGTGTGCACAGGTCCTTGAGGCTGGGGCCAGCTGCGGCAGCAGCTAGAAGGAGCTGCCACCACATGGGCTGTCTAGAAAGGCAGTCCAGCGTCAGAGCCCCACTACATGCCTAGGGACGGCAGGATGCAGAACAGCTGGGTAGTGCAAAGCAGGTGTGGGGCAGGCTGGGGCTGTGCACTGTTGTCAGTGGCGGGGAGATGCCTCAGGGCGCGTGGGCTTCAGGCTGTTGTGGGGTGGGGGCGGGGGCGGTTGCTGACTAGCTCAGGGGGGTGTGCAGGCAGCTCCCATGCACACCCCACCATAAATTCAAATCCTCCCTCATACCCCCCCACACACACTCAGCTGTGCACCTCTGCTCTGCATGCACACTCCACCACATGCACCCACACACCCACACCCAGCCACCCTCCCCTCCACACACCCCACAGACCCCCACAAACCCCATATCCATCCACACACACCCACACATCCCCACAAACCCCCCATACCCCCCATACCCACCTATATCCACACATACCCACATACCCCCACATGCAGACATATCCACACACATCCCACATATGCTCCCCACAAACCCCATGCCCAGGGTTTGAATTACGGTGGAGTTTGGGGGGGCTGAGCTGCAGATGGCTCACCTGGGGGTGCATGGGGGGGTGTTTCCCACTGCTGCATGCACCCCTGTGGGTGGCATGGGGGGCATGTTCCCCCCTGATTTGTGTGCAGGGTGAGGGTGGGCTGCAGGCTTGGGGCCAGAGGCTGCGTCAGCCTCTTCCCAGCACGGGGGCTGGGTCGGGGCTGCACTCAGGGTGGCCAGGGAAAGGGTGGGCGGTGGCAACACTGGGAAGGGTGACTACAGGGGGGCACTAGAGCCACCCCAAAATTCACTGTATTCCCCCCTCCCAGCACTGCCACTGCTTTCCCACCCCTGCCCACCCCAAACACAGCCCCAGCTCAGCCCCCACCACCAGGAACAGGCCGGCACAGCCCCAAGCCCACAGCAAGCAGCCCGCCCTCACCCCCGACACATATACAAGAGGCAAATGCCCCCCATGCCTCTCCTGGGGGTGTGCAAAGTGGTGGGAGCCACCCCTGCACCCGTCAGACAAGCTGCCCATGGCTCCATCCTACGTCCCGCCTCAGCTGGGCAGCGCCTGGCCCAGCCCCTGCCCTAACCCCATTCCTTCCCTCAGTGTAGGGGCCTTGATCTGTCGCCACCATGCTCCTTCCCTCCCCCACACCTGTTCCCCCCCACATATTTACCAGCCAGACGCTGCTCTCCAAGCTGCTGGGCTGCATTCCTGGCTGCATGCATGCTGTGGCTGTGCACATGCACACAGCATTTATCGGTGACATTATCAGCCACATGGGCCAAAAAAAGCCAATTGCCAATAATGTTAATTGTCCTTTTATTGGTATTGATACAATATTGACCAATATATCGGTGCACCTCTAATAAATATAACATTGTATATGCTAAGGTACCTATATATGTACTTTTGTCATTTTATATATAATATTTATTAGCACATACTTAGTACCTATATATGTATTGTATATAAAATGTGTATGTATCCTGGTTTCCCAAGTGACATACTTTTTACAGGAAAAAGTACTTTCTTATCAGAATAACAGTAGGGTATTTAAAAATATCACAAAAGGAATCCCTTGACTTGCAAGCAACACTCCTTTTACTAATACCCAGTATGCAGTTGACTATTTACACAAGAAGACACTGACTTTCACTAACTCTGCTGTACCAAGAAAATGTTCTATAGTAGATCTAGCTTTAAAACCCTGGATGCCTACACACGTGCAGCAATGCTGCTCTGATGCACTGTAATTACAGCACTTCGGCAGACTCCAGAGTCTCATGTATTAGTGTCCCCATGCTGAAAAATGGCCAATACCCCTGTATACTCTAGTATGCAATAGATGAGCACGAAATACCTGATTCTCATTGGAACAACAAACTTTGCACCACTTTTCTGAAGTAAAGGAGCCTTAAAGTAGACATAGTTTTTCACCCTTTTTAAGGACACTTCAAACTGCCAGTTGCGGAGTAGACGTGTAGAGAAGGCTTATGCTTGGTCTACACTTAAATAGTTTTATTCGCATAACTATTTCAATGTAATTTTTTGCTGACATAATTCTGCCAGTAAGCCTGAGCGGAAACTCAGTTATACAGTATAAGGAGTTTAATTACTGATATGGCTTATTTCCCTTAGCCCATGTGGTATAATTGCATCCACTTCAGGGTAGGTTTTGCTGTTTTAATTATGCCAGTATATTTAAAATGGTATAACTTATATGTATGGACAAGATATTCATATAAATGAAAATTGGATATGCTAACTGTACATGAATTGTCTGTAGGTTAACTGCTGCATCACACCAAAAACCTGTGTTTATATTTGAGTATAATAGTATTGCTCCAAATATTGAGAAACTACCACTATCCTGAGAACTAAAGAGAGTTTTAGGTGATGTCCTTTATTGAACCAGTTGTATACTTGGGAGAGATATTAGACAAGCTTTGGGAAACAAAATATTGCTTCTGGCATATTTTCTGGACTATCACAGCTGCAACAACACTTCAGACTACCCTAAGAGGATGGGAGTGTTAGGAAGAAACACTGAGAATTTGTTAAGGTGAAAGAAGGAATCAAAAGAAAAGAATTGGGCATTTCCTTTGAATGTGGATCATTCACCCACTAGTTAATGTCTTGCTCTCTTCTTTGTAGCTCCGAATGTCATGGCTCATCCATGGCTCCTTTCTTGGAAACATTTCCCTGGTTCTTGTTGAGAACAAAACAGAGAAAGAACAGAGTAAGACGTTCTGGCACTTTACAAACAACGAAGGCTTCGGAATCTGGCAGTGGATGGTCTTAGCTCTCCCAGATGTTTCAGACAGGTAAGAACTTCTTATCTTGTTCCTTACTATTTGCTGCCTTCCCAATGAGCAATCACTTCATTACTGACTGCTTAGCATCCAAAATTGCCCTGAGCATTCTTGGAGAGGGAGTATTCAGCTCTGAGGAGAAAGAGATACTTTGACTCCTGGTGGAATGTCGTGTTGTAGGTAGGAAATATCCAAAATGGAGATATTAGAGCAGCACAGAAGGAGTCAGGACTTTGGGGCTCCATTCTAGGCTCTGATGCTGATCACTGGGTGGTTAGGAGCATATTATTTAAATATTCTATGTCTTGGTTTCCTCAGCTGGATAGAAGAATGCTTCATGTTCATGATTGTGTATGAAGCAAGTGTATACTCTCAGATGAAAGATACTATACATTTTGTATAAGGAATGAAAACTTTGAATTAAAAGCTACATAATTCACTTTTGTTCTGGCTTTTCAAGTCTTCAAAGTTCTGAGTATGTTTGGATCTAGAGGTGTGATTTAGCCCAACATGAATGGAACGACCATAAAATTAGGTCATGGATGTGCCTGGAAATTGTAAAAACCTTACCCCAAACTCCAGTCAGCCCATACTCAAAGGTTATATCATTCACAGCAGCAGTGTCAACTTGGCTTAATTTTCATTTAGTGGTTCTCTAGCCAAGTGATTGTTATAACATTAAAGGTCCAACAGTGACATCATCTAAGCTGCAGAGTACTTTTGAATAATAGGTGACTGCTGATCACCTTCAAGGAGTAGCTCTGTGTATTGTTGCTTACTTTTATTTCCCATGCACACTGCTATTCATGCTTCTTATAGTGGAAACATAGGCAAAACAGTAACCTTCCACTGCCCCAGACTTTAAGAAACAAGATCATCAGCCGTCCATGTAGTCAGGATTGATGCCTTTGGTCTTTCTGAGGCACTGCACCCTAGGAATAATGGATTACATTAAAAGGACAGGTTACCTTGTGAGAAGTTACAACAAAAGATATACTCCCCTGGTTATTATCTTACTGGCTCTTAGGAAAGTATGTGGATTGCAAATATAGAGGGCTATGACCCATGCTTCAACATTGGATGCATCATTATTTTGCTGGCGCCAGCATTAGCCTTTTGTTCAAGCACCAGCGATGCTTCAGTAGAAATGCCTCATTATTTCATTTCTTCTTAGCTGTGTTTTCCTTTGAAAAAGACTGTGTTTTGCCATTATTATTTGTGTGAATTATTATTTATTTGGGTTGCCAGGGAAATGTTTCATGCTTGATGTAATCTGTACCTGTATTCTTGTGTTACGTGTGTGTGTGTGTGTGTGTGTGTGTGTGCGCACGCGCCCTTTAAACTTTCCCTCGTAGCAGAATGAGAAAGGGCAATTTGAGACTAGGAACCAGGTCCAGCAATTGTCATTATGAAACCAAACTCGGGGGTTCCAGCAGAGAGCTGAGCGTTTGCTATGAAGTGCTGAACACATTGTAATCCCACTTGTTTAGAGAGGAAGACTGTCATGCCCATTGAGGAGAGGAGAGGAGAGGAGAGGAGGACCTGGAGGGTTGAGATTAGGTTTAGAAGACCAAAGAAGAGGATTCAAAGTTTTGGTGGATCTTAGGCCTTTGCCACATGTTATTTTTGCAGTGCTACAAAGGTTACATGACAAAGTTGCCACATAGTCATGTTCTCCAACCAGAGGGTGATAAAGGCCTGCTGTTTAGGTCCCTTTGCCTCCAGGGGAGCCTTTCAGTGAACAAGACAAGCTCATTTGACAGGCTTGCCTGTGGCAACAATTGATGGATGTGACGGGCATTTCCAGTCTCAGGATGCCTGCAAGCGCTTTAAAGTTATCTGCTTACAGGCAGCCTCATATTGGAGCCCATTGCATCAGTCAGAGACCAGAGACTGTTGCTACCTTGCAAGCCCCCACTGCCACTACAGCCCTAACCTGTTGCCTCCAAGCAGCAACCAGGACAGGGCTCCCTGAAGCCCTTCCTGCAGGGCCCATGACAGCTCTGCCCTGAGCAAGCTGTCAGGGAAGCCAACTGCTTTCCTTCCCTCCTTCCCCCTTGAAGGGGAGAGAGTCAGGGAGCAGAGGACTGTGGGATAGTGGGAGTCTCTCAGACCTAACCACACGTTAAATTTGTCCCAGAAAGGCAGACAGACAGTATAAAATAAACTTCTTTGTTATGGATTCACCATTTTGGGGACAGATTGGCCATTTTTTTAATGTGACAAATAGCCTGATTGTATGGCCAGCTGCTTTTTATCACACTAAAACAGCTGACATGATGGGACAAATGCAATGCCTGTCTAAGCCCTTAGAAAACCTGTGGCCTTGTCTCACCAAAGAAGTTGTGCTGCTTTAATTAAAATCCATTTTAAAGCTGATTTAGTTCAAACTGAGTATGTATTGTCTAGGAAAGAGCAGGTTTTCTATGAGCCTTGGAAAGAGTACAGAAATTTGTGCAAGTCCCATCTTTGCCAGCAACTGAAGCCTGCTTCTTAGGGTGTCTGGGCAAATGCATGAGACCCCTAGTTTATGAACTCCTGAACTGTGCTGTGCTGTTAAGGAGCCTGTAGGGGGAATTTTTGTAGTAAGCACAACATCGCTTACATCTTGGCTAGGGGGATTTTCTGCCTGAATCTCCGTAATTAGTTCCTATCTTTGTGTGTCACCTCTGCTGAACAGTACGTGTGACATGGACAAATCTCCTGCAGGAAGTATGGTCACTTTAAGCAGGTTATCAACCCCTAACTCTTTGACCGCATAGAACAGTTTTTCATATCTTTTCTGCGGGAGATGTAAGGGTCCCACAATGTGTTTGGAAAGCCTCATAGAAAGTCCTTCATACAAAGAAATAACAGGCCCTAAAAACTGCTCAAAGGTATGAGATCTCAGCAGGGGCAAGATGTTGACTCAAACTGTTTAGCCAAGAAATTTCAAGTTTGGCTTAAAGCATCTGCAAAAAGAATTTGGGAAACATCCACAAAATGAGATCACTTCTGTCCTTGAATCCAGATATTTCCTCAATGCCTAAGCTGTCTCAAACTATCAAGAAAAGAAATTCTCCCTCCTTCTAGGTGCATGATTCTTTGACCGTGTCCCCCTGGCCCAGTGTAACAGGATGGATAGAGAATGTAGTCAGCCCTGCAGAGTGGCTACATACATTCCTAGAAGTTGAAGGTGTGGGTTCAAACCTCCTCAGGATGATGGAGGCTTAGAACCAAGGTCTCCCACTTCCTGAGCAGGTGTCCTAACAGCTCAGCTACTGGACAGATGGTCTACTTTCTCCCTCCTGACATCTTCAGGCATGCTGATAAAGGCAGATTATGAAAATAGACACAGTAGCAGTTTTTCAGGGAACAGAATCAACCTTACATGACTGTTAGGAATCTGTGGGCATGTCTACACGTTCATTAATGCACTTTTGCTAACGCACATTACATTTAGTACCTCCGGGTGCCTGTACACTAGTGCGGAGGCTGCTCCAATGTGCTGTAATTCCAATGGGTCAGAGCGGATTCAGTTAATTGAGTCTGCTGGACCATGGCAATTACCACACTTCAGCAGCCTCCCACATCTTGTATATCAGCGCCCCCATGATTCAAATGGTGGCGGAGTTGCTTGAACTAAAGCTTGTTGAATAAGCTTTAGTTCACATGCCTCTGCCTCCATTTTGAAGCGTGGGGACCCTGATACATGAGATGCTGCAGCACTTTAATTAGAGTGGCTCTTGGAGCTGCTCTACTTAAAGTGCTGCCCCCCACCCCTAAAGCACATATAAAGTGCCCTCCATCGTGAGGTACTAGGAAAAGGCACATTAACCTATTTTAACGTGCATTAGCAAAACCACACGGGTTTTTTGTGATGCTTTAACGCATATTGAAATAGGCTAATGCTACATTAAAGTGCACATGTAGACACAGCTTGTAAGTGCTATTTTGGCATCTTAAAGGTAGAAGAGAAACTTGGCCTTAACCGTTTTTAGTAAAATAGGAATAATAATGCTTCCTTTGTTCCACACATCATCTGGTCTATTTACATTTTAAGGCAGAATCTATCTGAGACTAAAAACCACGGTGCTAGTCACTAGAGTAAAGGTTTAGCTTCATGGGCTGCTCCAAAGTTCAGCATCTCCACTCATGCTGAAAGGAGCTCTGGCAGAAAAATTCAAGCAGAATGGGGCTGTGGTCTGGAGGAGCTGACACGTATTTCCCAAATCTCTGATTCCTTTCTTGTGGGTATGAGAAAAGGAAATGGAGGTCCCAGTGAAGGACATGCTATCGGGCAGCTGTGGTTAAAAACAACAGAACAGCTTCTGGCAAAAGCTTCTTGAGAAGCTTTGTTATTTCAGCTGATTGTGCTTAACTGAGCCAAAGGGTAAAACCCCTAAAAGTACTTTGTTTAAACCTACAAGTTTATAACAGGTGCTGAAGAGAGAAAATCCCTATTTCCTTCTTTCTGTAGTCACTATATTAACCATCCTCCCTTGCTTTACTTTCCTTCTCAAGGAAGTGGAGAAAACACATGCAGTGCACTACTAACTTTCACAAATGCTCTTCCACTTTATAAAGGAGACTCTCCATTTAAAAATAATTATATGATATCCTGTATTAGTAACTATACCTTTATATTATTAAAAAGTGAGTCTATTTAAAACCCGATAAACTTTTGATTATTTATGACTTGTCTGCCTTTTGCATGTCTCTGACATGGGACAAATAGATCTAGGCCTCTCATTTTGACTATTGCTTATTGTGAGTTTCTAGTCATTTTCACTTCCTGGTCCTTCAGCATTAGTATAATGCTAAAATGTTTGGGCTCCAGACAGTGCAGGGAGATGTAGTGTTTATTTGTTTATGTTTAGTTCAAATTGATTCCAGTGAAAAGGGGAACAAAAAATGGAAATAGATCTTTAAATGTGGGCCTTTTATTTGGATCCTTTCATCAGGTTTGGGTTTTTTGGGGTTTGGTTTTGTTTTTTGTTTTGGAGGGGGTGGGGTGGGGGGGGGTTGAGTTG